AACTGCTTTGTCTGCAAGCTGTGAGGCCTGGCTTCTCCTCCTTCACACATTCCTTCCTCAGATCATTAACCCTGGCGGGGACTTACGCTCCCAGACCTGGGACCTTCCAACTTTCCTTCACTCTGCATCTTGAACAAATGTTTGAAAACATGCATTTAACCACAGGACCCAAATTGGTGCTCCAGTGGCACCCAGTCCCATCTCAACAAAAGACAAGGGTCTATTTTTCCAACTGTTCAGTTTGAAAAATGGAGCACAATGACATTAGGTGCTGGTGAGGATGTGGAGAAACTAGAACTCTTATACATTGCTGATGGGAACGCAAAGCTCCTTTGGAAAACAGGTTGGTCATTTCTTATAAAGTTTGACATATACACAGCAATCCTATTGCTAGGATGTATTCAAGAGAAAGAAAAACACATGCACACAGAAACCTGTATGCAAATAGTTATAGCAGCTTCACTCATAACCAGAAAAAAATGGAGACAATCCGAATATCCTTAAACTGTTGAATGGGTAAACAAACTAGTACATCTATTCAGTAGAATTCTATTTAGCAGCAAAAAGGAACAAAGTACATGCAACAATGTGAAGAAGCTCACGCATTATGTTACGTGAAAGGTGCCAAACTTAAAAGTCTACGTACTATATGATTTCATTTGTAGGACATTCTGGAAAAGGCAAAACTATAAGGACAGAGAGCAGATGGGGGATAGTAGAGGACTAGGATGGGAGAAGGATTGACCACAAAAGAGCATGGGGGAATTTTCACAGCGAGGGATTTGGCTCTATATCTTAATTGTGGTGGTTACACAATTGCATGTGTTTATTAAAAGTCAGAGGACTGGCTTGGTGCCTGTGGCTCAGTAAGTAGGGTGCTGGCCACATAAACCAAAGCTGGTGGGTTCGAGCCCAGCTCAGGCCTGCTAAACCACAATGACAACTACAACCAAAAAATAGCCAGGTGTTGTGGGAGGCACCTGTAGTCCCAGCTACTTGGGAGGTTGAGCCAAGAGAATTGCTTAAGAGTTTGAGGTTGTTGGCTTGGCTCCTGTGGTTCAAACAGCTAAGGTACCAGTCACATACACTGGAGCTGGTGGGTTTGAATCCAGTTGGGGCCTGCCAAACAACAATGATGGCTGCAATCAAAAAATAGCCAGGCATGTGGCAGGTGCCTGTGGTCCCAGCTACTTGTGAGGTGGAGGCAGGAGACTTGCTTGAGACCAGAAATTGGAGGATGCTGTGAGCTGTGATGCCATGGCACGCTACCCAGGGTGACAGCTTGAGGCTCTGTCTCAAAAAAAAAAAAGTTTGAGGTTGCTGTGAGCTGTGATGCCATAGCATTCTACTGAGGACAACATAGTGAGACTCTTGTCTCAAAAAATTAAAAAATATGGCTC